AACGAAGTTTTGATTGACATCAATTAATGTGATTCCAGGACGTTGCATAAGCACGTGTCCTCCCAAAATATGTCATGGAAACACTTTGATCGATCGATGTCCACCAAAATCCTAGTTAGTTGCATTTGCAGATTTTACTATAAAGCTCTTGCTGTTGATAATCACAGACTGTAATTGTGTTCACTTGTGTAAAATGTCTGAAGATTTTCTGGTGCAAAYATTGCACCAATTGGATTATTGCTTCTGCCACCATTTCAGATTTAATACATGTGTTTCCTTTGAGTATTATTTCGTTACTGTTGAATATTTATCTGTCCCAATGGTCCATTATTCTAGACTAATATGGGATAATTAAAGCAAAAATGTAGTTTTTTTTAGGGGAAGGGTGGGCATTGATTTTCACAACAAACGTATTGCATAATAAGGGCCTAACCTCGTAAGGACTAAACAGTAGTAGGAGTTTTTAAATATGTGAGCGAAAATTATCACTCGGTGTTATGATGCTGAGCCAATAATTCTTTTTCTTTTCTTTCAGTTTTATTTACAGTGTCACTTTAGACTCACTCCTCAACAGCTACAGCAGTCTCAACAGCAGCAGCAACGAAAACCTCCACAACCATTAATGCCCCCTGGGCTTGTACCTCAACGTCCAAAAAACATCCTTGCCGCAAATCCTTTAAACCCCTTCGCTTCTTGAAGACTCATTTTTATGGAACTCCTTTTTTGTGTGACTTTTTTCTTTCCTAAAGCCAATTCTATAAGACWTTTTTTTYCCCAAGAATGTTTGTCCTTTGTTCACTCTTTTTTGCTTGTGTAGCATTTAGATGACAAGATGCTGGGATGTGGAGCAGGAGGATATTGTCATTTAAATCAAAATCTATGTTCTGCTTGAATCGCACTCGTCCATGGAACAACTTAGCAACTTGTACCAAGGCCCTGTTGCTTAAAGCCCGATATGAGCTAATCCTGGGTTAACTGTAAATAATATTTACAGCATACAGTGACAGCATGGATTAGCACTGGATTAGCACTTATCTGGCTTTGAACAACCAGGCCCCGCAGTTCACTCTTTTTTATTCTCTCTTTTTTGCTTGTGTAGCATTTAGATGAGAAGATGCTGGGATGTGGAGCAGGAGGAGGTTGTCATTTAATTCACAATCTATGTTCTGATTGAATCGCACTCGTCCATGGAACAACTTAGCAACTTGTACCTAGGCCCTGTTGCTTAAAGCCCGATATGAGCTAACCCTGGGTTGACTGTAAATAATATGTACAGCATTACAGTGACAGCATGGATTAGCACTGGATTAGCACTTATCTGGCTTTGAACAACCTGGCCCCGCAGTCTCCTATTCATAATTTGGTGAGACAACACTACCAGCTGCTGAGTAGGAGATTTATAAATTAGGGAGTCACTCTCCACTAACTTAAACAAACTATCTTTKATGAGCATTTAGATTAACAAATAAACTGCTAATAGGAAATGGGAGTTACAGACACCCCAGGAGCACCTAAGTTGCATCATATTACTTGTTCAAATGCTCTTTAGAATTAGTATATTTGTCATTATTTTGTAAACAAAAAGTGCAAGAAAATAGTAATACAATTTATTTAAATCAAATCTGTCTTTTGTTTTCTTCATAAATGCTCTGTTATCACAATTCAATTTTAACTGAACCCTAACAGGACATGGCAAACTCATAGATCTGAAACAACCTCTGGGCTGATCTAAGTCAGGGCATGGCTAACTCACAGATTGAACCTTGAAACAACCTCTGGGCTGATCTATGTCAGGGCATGCCTAACTCACAGATCAAACCCTGAAACAACCTCTGGGCTGATCTAATTAAGTCAGGGTATGGCTAACTCACAGATCGAACCCTTAAACAACCTATGGGCTGATATAAGTCATGGCACGGCTAACTCACAGATCAAACCCTTAAACAACCTCTGGGCTGATCAGCATCAGGGCACAGAAAAAACTATTGTAAATGAAACTCGGAAATAACCTCTGGGGTGAACTAAGTCATGGCACGGCTAGCTTGCAAATCATGATCAAACCCTGAAACAACCTCTGGGGTGATCAGAGTCAGGAAACAACTAACTCACAAATGAAATTGGAATTTTTTAATACCTATCTATACCGTTTCTAACCTTTCCTTGAATTTCATAAAAATCTTTTCCAACAACAACAACAGCCTCTACCCGCCTCAGCAAAAAAAATAATTAGASGAGTATTGGGTTTCCTGTGGTATACTATTACCGGTGTCAAATGTCCGGCAGAAGTCGTTTGTGTGAATGTATGTGATTTTGTAAGTCGTTTGAATGCTTTAGGGATTGCTATAGACTTCAATTTAACATTCCTCTAGGCTCAACATAGAGTTAACTGCTGTCATCAGAGTCACTTAGATTTCTGTTGCTCCACATGTAGGTTCCTGTTTTTGTATGAAATTACGCCGCTTTTTTGTCTTGTGTCGTTCTGGTATATATCCACCTTTATTTGATGTTATGGCACTACGCTTGAAAGAGCCTTCAGTACTAGTAGAGGGTACAGAATTTGTGTGATCATCAGTAGATGTATCTGGGGCTGTATAGATAGCTGCAATTTCAGACTCAGATACAAAGCAAACTGGAGTTGCAGTTGTTGTATTACAACATTTCACAAGCTTATGTTTAAGGTCATCAATTTTCAAGTGAGACTCAGTTTGTACGTTGTGATATTGCAGGATTTTCTTTATGTTTTCAGACTTTACCATATTGTCTGGAAGAGATAGCTTAATATGGTGTTGAGAAATAATTTCCTGCAATATGTCAGTGTTACACTTATGAAGAGGTTGGTATAAACAATTGCCAAAATTTAAACTGATATCTTGTGTTTTTAGTTTTTCAAACAATGAATAAATGCAGATTTTCTCTTTCATGAAACAATGGATTGGCCCCAACATACGTTGCTTTCCCATTATTTCATAGACCATTGTGCACATACCAACCACTTTTATGATTTTTTTGGGTTGAGTAAATTTCACACCAAAAGTGGTTTGACTTCAAATAAACAATGTCAGACAATCTGTAGGTATAGTTATTGACGACAACTTTAACTTCAGTGGATGTATTTGTATTTTTAATCAACTGAGGACATTTACTGCCAGGATTTGTAATGTAGTTTACAAAAAATATTTCAGGACTATTTGTGACTTGTGATGTTTTAAAAGTAGTAGCCTTGCATGTTTTAGGCTCCTCATGCAACAAGAATGCATTCATTGTCAGAAATAGTTACAAAGTTCTCCTTTACTGAATTGGAACACTTTGAGACAGTGGATAAGTTTAGTTTGTGTTCAATGACGTTTATTATGTCAAAGTCATTGCCATTAGATAAGTGATGGTTACTGGTAGCATCGTCACCACTAATAGGAAAAACATAGTTATTAATATTTCTTACTGAATTGTGGGAACTATTCAGCATACATTTTGTTGTTTGCCTTGTTTCAAGTACAAAGTTAGTCCTTACATCATTATGGCATTTCTCAAGAATTCGGAAGAGAATTGATTCTAAAGAGGCTAGCTTTCCCAATTGCATAATATGTATGGCCATTTTGTGTATGGTCTTGAAGCCACCTCCATAGCTTCATTTTGCTTTCATGAAAATCCCCCTTTTCCCTCACAGAAAATGCCTCAATCAAGGATGTTAAACTTTTGTTTGTTTTAAAAATCTCAAAGTCATGAAATTGGCGTTTACAGGCATGATATGTTAATTCAAGAAATGTGTGCKGGTGACAGCTGTTGTGTATTCCTTTAGAGCCATATTTATAAGACTGGTATGTGACAGAGATAGTAGATTTATTTTTTGGTCGAAGATCACAAGGATTTAGTTTACATTTCCATTCTTCTTCTTTGCGGCCTTTGCGTCTCCGTGCTTGTTTAACTATACAAGTAGAATTATTTTTCATATTAGAAAAAAGAGAGAGGTCTTCGTGTATTAGTACCTGGGGAACAACTAATGATTTACCTGCTGTTGTATATATACAAATACAGTTTTTTGATATTTCTTTACTTCTTTCATGAAGGCCAAACACATCAGAATACCACTCAGGCTCTGTTTCACTATTAGCCATTGTCCAAAACTCATATAGATAACTTTGAAGCAATTTCAAATATTCATTATTTCTTTCGATAAGAAAAACTTTCATTCCCACAGGAGTCCACACGATATAGTGACATGAATTAGTGGAAGTGCATAGCATTTCAAGCATTACTTGTGGCATATGATTGATACAAACTTGTTTGTATGGTACAGGTGTAACTAGCCACGGCGGTATACAAATAAACTTTATTATAACTAGAGGCTGAGTACAACTCATTCGAAGTAATTTACTTTCTAAAGAAGCCTTATAAACATAAAAGGGGCGACTTTGAAACCTCTAAAAATACCCCGAAAGGTAAAAACTCAGTGGCCTCGTGGCCGCCGTGCCAGAGAATGACTCCGCGCATGCGCACCACAGACCACAGGGAACCCAAACTACCACAGGGACCCCAATGCAGTTACATGGCTCCCCAAAATGTTATCCTGTGATAATATTTTCCCTAATTAACAATATGAACTATAACAATCTCAACAATGTTCTACAGTTCTTTTATGTGTCTGTCATAATCAACGTTCTTTAACGGTTCTGGCTTCTGGTCGGGGAATCCCGGTCTCCCTGCGATTCTACAAGCAGGACAAGCTTGTTTACCGGTCTCTCCAACTTGGATCTGTTGGGCGTCAGTACCGTGACTGATCGAACTTGACCTTGATCATCCGGATACACGTTCACGACTCTAGGCAACGACCATTTGTTTCTTGGGGACAGGGTTTCCTTTAGTAAGACTACATCTCCTGCTCTGAAGTTCCTTCTCGGTTGGGTCCATTTCGGTCTTGCTTGTAGCTATTGCAAATAATCTTTGCTCCATCTCTGCCAAAATTCTTGTGCTAGATGTTGTGTTCTTCTCCATTTCCTTTTACATTACAGATCTTCTCTTTTGAACTCTCCAGGTGGAGGTAACACGAGTCTTGTCTTCCCAGTGAGCAGCGTACCTGGAGAAATCGGCGGTTCGGACAGGGGGTCGCTGAGTGTCTCCACCGTCAAGGGTCTGCTATTCACCGTAGCCTCTGCTTCACACAGGAAAGTTCTCAGCGTTTCTTCATCAATGCGGGCACCATGCCCTCTTAGAAGTCCGTTCATGACGTTTCTGATTGATCTAATTTGTCTTTCCCAGACACCTCCAAAGTTGCTTGCGGAAGCTGGATTCTTGACCCAATCTACGTTGTCCTTTAGTAGTTCTGCTTTCACTTTCTGGTCGTCCATCTCATCAATAGCTCTCTTAAGTTCAGCTCCAGCACCAACAAAGTTTGTACCTCTATCACAGCGAATTTCTCTGACAGGACCTCTTCTGCTGATGAACCTCCTTAATGCTTGTATGAATGAGTTCGTTTCCAGTGAATCAGCCACTTCGATATGCACAGCGCGACTTGCTAAACACGTGAACAACGCGCCGTATCTCTTGACGGTGGATCTTCGTTGTTTGACGTACCACGGGCCGAAATAATCGACCGCGCAGTATGTAAACGGCGGGGCAGGTTCCAGGCGTGACTTAGGCAAATCCGCCATCTTCTGTTCTCCAGTGGTACCTCTGAGGTAACGACACTTGACACACTTGGAAATGAACTGTCTTACCATGGCATTTCCATTTATGACCCAGTAGCCACTGGCACGTAGCTCATTGAGGGTGACTCCTCTACCGCTGTGATGAGTCCTTTCGTGGACGTGGTTGATCACTAGCTTCGTCACATGGCTCGATTTCGGCAAAATAATGGGATTCTTGAGTGATTCTGATAGATTTGCCTTCCGAATTCTTCCTCCAACCTTGATTATACCTTTCTCGTCCACGAAGGGGTCCAATGTGTGAAGAGAGCTCGTTTCCTTTAATGCGGCTTTCCTTTCTTTGTCCGTCTCGCGGCTGCTGTACTTTGGGCTGTTCTGGATGTCTCGGAGACTCTTTAGTTCAGATGGAAACGCAGCTTTTTGTATTTGTCTGATAATGTCTTCCTCAGCTTCTTCTAGATCCGTGACAGTCATTTCCGTTGTGGAGGACGCCCCGTTGTTTACAATCTTGTTTTCTTGTGAATTTTGGCTGCATTTGATTCTGTCTCTGAGCTTTTTTTTTGTACTTCAAACAAAGAGCTATAGCCTTCTTCCCCTTGTGCCAACTTGAGAATCTTTCTAATCTGCCGAGTATACTGCTAGGTTTTTCCTTGACTGTGCTTGCGTTCACCCTGATGTTCTTTACTTCTGGTGAGTCTGGATGTACACCGTTCTCGAACGTTTCCTCTTTCAGCCACTTATCTTCCTCCTCGTTCAGGAATTCAGGTCCCTTGATCCACCTCGATTTCTCTATGAATTCTTTCGCTGACATTCCTCTTGAACCTTCGTCTGCTGGGTTTGATGTTGTTTCGACGTAGCGCCATTGTGAGGGATCGGTGTGATCTTGAATTACTTGTACCCGATTCGCTACGTAAGTATGAAATCTTCTGGATTCGTTGCTAATGTACCCGAGGACAACCTTGCTGTCTGTCCAATAATGATCTTCAATCTCTGCGTACTCAAGTTCTTCCTTTATGGCATCAGCAATCTTTACGGATACGGTAGCTGCAGCTAGCTCCAGTCTCGGGATGCTCACAGACTTTCTTGGTGTTACTCGGGCCTTGCCCATGACAAAAGAAACGTGTACTTTACCATTTTTATCCTTTAGACGTAGGTGTAGGGACCAGACTTAGACACGCGTAACTCAGTTTTCATTTAATTCGTAACGACTCTCATTACATCTCGTCATCGAAGACTTTGTACAGTTTATGACCTTTGTATGGTTTATACGCTATTGTACGGTTCTACAACGAGAAAGTTATATTCTTAACATAAGACTTACAAA